TTTAGTTTCAGTTTAAATAAAACAATGATTTTGATTGGTTCATGCAAACTTACATGAGACCAATCGGAGAACGTATTTCTAACCCCGACAACTTAGCCTATTAGGTCAAGGGTTTATGGGGAGCGGAGCGGATCAGAAGATCTTGATTTGAGAAGATGTATCGTTGGAGAAGGAGAAAATTTTCTTTTAAAGTAAAAAACGGAGAAACATTGCACTTGTTTACATAAGCTACATTTTTGTCAAATTTTTTAACGACTCTGCGTAAAAAATTGCACATAGAATTTCTGATTTTTTCCAAACAGAACACCGATAAATATCTATATTTTATTCCACATGGTTTAAAATTACGTGCAATTCCACTCCACTCCATGAAATTAAACACAACCAATTTTGTCCCCCAAATGGTCAGTAAAATTCATTACCGATATGGTAGATTGTCTACCAAATGGGGGATAAAGGACCATTTGGTAGGTTGTGCCAACCTGTTAATGGGTTGTCCCATCACATACAAAAGGAGCATATATCAAAATAAAAACTTTACAGTAATCTTTATGACTACCTTGACTTTCCGTTTTAGATCATTATCATCTGGTACTTCATCTCCATTATCCTGAAACATCAAATAACAAGTGAATGAAGTGATGAAAAATATAAATGTGCAAAATTGTGAATGGATGAAACGAAAGTTAAAACAATTATAAATATAAAGAAACTATATAAAAAAAATGTGTTTTCTAATTGTTTCCATATCGCTTGCTCCTTATAATGTTTAGCATTAATTATACTTTTTAAAGCCAAAGAACGGGACGAAAAAGACTGAATTGCTATAGTAAGAAAACTGAGGAAATTCGAGAAAACGCTCATACATTCAGACAAGATATGTGACCATTCCTTCATCTGAGGCACAAACCTCCATTCAAAAGCAAAAATGTGTTTCTTACATCGTGTGTTCGATCATGTCTCGTATCCTCTTCGCTCTCGGCTTCGGAAATATTCTTTCGCCGTCGCCTTTCCGCCATTTTCTCAATAAAACCCTGTGAGGTACCCCGTGTAACTGCAAGAGAATTCCGATCCCGATCCCTTTTTCGCAACATTGGCTTCATCTGTTAGGCCTAAACCATCCAGGGACCCTGAGTTGATACACTGCCGTTGAAACATTTGAAGTCTTCGTTACAGAGAAGAATATTATGTTTAAGTTTTTTCTTGGATACATATAGTTTGTTTCATCTTTTCTTTACTAATTATTCCTTAAGTACGGACACTTGTGATAATCACCCGTTTCTCCCGGATTTTTCGTTTGTATCATTTCAAATTAACTCAGTTTGAAGATATTGCTTTTTTTAAATTCTTATATATTTTATATATGTTTTTAAAAATTATTATTCATATTAAAATCACTGACTAGCTAACTTCATTATTCAGTCTCAAAAATTCCAAGGAAGGAACTTTTCGAAAATTAAAAATCACACTTTTTTTTCAAAATTCGAGAACATCAAAAAGTATGACTTTTCTACACTTTATACAACCATTTCTCGAGATAGATTTTAAAAAGGCTTTGGAAATCAAAGACAACTGCTTCTTAAATAAAAATGGAAGTAGGAAATTGTTGTATCTTAAAGCTGTGATGGTCATCAACTATTAAAACAACTTTGAAACAAGATGTGTTTGTGAAACACTGATGCCCCCGTATAGCAGCTTATGGCGAATGTTGAATTCTCTAAAAAATTAAAAGATTGTCAAACTCCAAAGGTCAAGGTCATAAGGTCAAAAGTCTTGATACCAAAGGGAAGTTCTTGTTACAAGGTATACACCTGTGAAATATGAAAGCCCTGGTACTAACTGTTCAAAAGTTATGACCAAGGTTAAAGTTTTTAAAAAGTGGGTCAAACTCTTAGGTCAAGGTCAAAACTATTTTTACCAGCTGAAAGGTCTTGTCACAATACATATACATCTTAAGTATGAAGGCCCTATCTCCAACTATTCAAAAGTTATGGCCAAGGTTAAAGTATTTGGTATTTTTTTGTAAAACTAGGTCAAACTCCAAGGTCAAGAAGTCACATTTGGTACCCAAAGAAAGGTCTTGTCACAAGGAATACACCTATGAAATATGAAAGCCATAGCCACACCCACTAGATAGTTATGGGCAAGGTTAAAGTTGACAAAAGACAGACAGAAAACAGACAGACAAACAAGCAGACAGGACAAAAACAATTTACACCCGGGATCTTCGATCCAGGGGCATAAAAAAAACTACGATTTTACACTGAAAAAATTAAAGGATGCCGGGAATTGTATTTATGTACGTAGTCCTCGAAAACCAGGTCTTTCAACAAACTGTTGGAATTCCGATAGACATTAATTGTGCCCCAGTATTAGACGACCTGTATTTTATACTCCCACTAAGCAGGATTTACTCAGAAACTTCTACCTGAGAATTCAATTCGAGATTTATGCAGATATATCGACGACGTATAACAATTACATGTAACAGCATATATCGACTCCATATATCCCGGTGAACTTGATATTAAAGAAACCCCAGAGTCTGCCATAGTGTATCTGTTTTTGGATGTTTTACTAGCTATAAATGGTAACGGCAAACTAACGACTCAACCGTTTGTAAATTTTTTAGACTAACTACTGTTCGCTATCTTCACCTCTTTTATATTTCAACTCGAGCTTGTAACTGTGTGTTTGTCGTCTTTTTTTCCTGCACGGAGGGGGGGTCTAATTTCTGTGTTTTAGTGTAGATATTTGGACATCATCTCTTCAATGACAACTCGATCGTCTTTCCCTTTCTTCTCCTCTCCCCCTTTCCTCTAAGAGGACAGAATTTAGCCAGAAGTTCCTCTTTTCTGTTATCCTGTGAATTCCAGTGGAGGACGTTTACTGTGATGCTGAGGGGTACGTTATCATAACTACACTTTACCAGTTCATACATGAGATTGGGACATAGCCTATTATATACTTTATGTACATGAAATAGTTGTTTATTTGATGAGAACATAACATGAAGTATAGCTGGTATCATGGCCATAGGATACTATAGAAAACATAGCTAGTATATGTTTGTATCCCCTCCAATAAAAACGTCTGTTTGAATTTTTTTTGGTAGTTGATAGCGTTGATAGTGAAAATGTATGACTGAACTCCCCCCCCCCCCCCCCCCCCCAATGAAGTCGCTTCCTACGACCTAGCATGGGAATTTTAATGCAAATTTTGTATATTTATATTACAGTCTGCTGCATCTGCACCAAGGTTCAAAATATAAAAGAGGTATCCCTTGTCTAATTTTTTTCATGTTGTAAACAGATTTTTACTTGTGGGGTCGGGGAGCGCGTTCATTCACGTTCTTTCTTTCTTATCGGTATCTATACAAAAAAAATCCTTCTTAACAATTTATTTAAGATATAAGGCGCGGAAATTTTCTCCAAAATAAACATACTTTATTTTTTATCAGCAGGATTTGTATCATGAGACAAGTAGAACCCGGAAGAGAATTGGCTGAGTAACGATCTAACAATTTTGAATTGAATTGTCCTAAAAGAAATGAAAACCATTCTGCAAATCTTTTACTTTGAATGGACAGTAATTTATTTCGCCGCAGCGTACGGTAAATATTCTTTTTTTTTTTTTTCGTTTTTATACATTCTAAATAGATATTTTCGTCTGAAGTCTTTGAAAAGGAAATGTTTTATTCCAAACCGAGGTCAAAGTCATGCAGTTATATATGTAGATGCCTTCCAAAATTATTCATTGATAGGTATAGTTGTAATGTTTTTCATTTTAAAAATTCACATAAAATCGATAAGGCCATTTCAAAATTTTGTCTTTGTTTAGCGTCCACAATTAATTTGAAAACTTATATTTCTATCAAAAAAAAAAAAAAAAAAAAAAGAAACAAAAAAAGAAAAAAATCGCACAGACCAAACGGGTAAAAACTAAATATTTTTTAAAGTTCAATTATAGTATTTCTCATCAGCATTTGAAAATTCTGTTCGCAGTGTAACTTACTAAAAAAAAATCATAAAAAATAAATATTGAGATTCCGATCCCAAAAGAGTAAACTAGCTTTCAAAGATCTGTATTTGTTAATTTTAATTTGTGTTTAATTTTATAATCTTAAAATCAATCCATCTGCGGACGCTAAAAATAAGAAAAAATTAAAATGACATTAAAAGTTAAGTTGATTATAAGATACCGGTATAAGAATGACGAGCTAAATCGTTCATACAGTATCTTTTAAAAGCGCTTTTATTCGATACGATGGAATTTGTGGAAATCGATCGCTTTGGTCGCAATTTCACACACACACACACACACACACACACACACACACACACCCTCTCACCCTTGCGTGTATCTCAATCTCCATAGATTTCCTCATCTGACATTCTCAGTTTACTTTTTAAAGATTTACCAGTTTCCAGGTTTAAGTACATCCTTTCTGATATACTTTTATTTTGAATAGCAAATAAAATGCTTACAACTTGACTATCTTAGTTGAAGTTAAGGGTCAAAGGTAACTGTATATTTCAGGCACGTAGTATCCGGGGGGGCCAGGGGGGGCCTGCCCCCCCCACTTTTTCTCCCAACAATACCTTTACTATAGAAAATGTCTAATGAAAAGGTGGTTGGCCCCCCACTTTTTACCACGGTATATACATTGCAAGAAAATATAGGAAAAAATGAAGTTTGCCACTACCCCCCCCCCCCCCCCCAAATAGGATTTTTTCGAGTTTGGGTAATATTCAATTTTCGTTTTTTTTTTTTTTTTTTTTGTTTTGCTTGTCAACTTTTTTTTTGGTAAAGTAAAAAAATTTTTTTCAGGTTGGCCCCCCCACTTTCAAAAACGATGCTACGTGCCTGTATTTCAAAGGGTTTATGTCAATCAAGAAAAGTTTAAATGGTTCCCCTTTTTTAACATCGGGTAAATAAAAATTAAAACATTTTATCAGCAAGTGAAGTCATACAAAAAATTTTGTAAAATTAACTGATACATGTATACTAAAAATATCAGTCATGGAAGAAAAAAAAACTCTCTACAACTCATTATAGATGACCTATCCTTCAGAAAGCCTACAAATCAGACACATGGGTATGACGCCGGATACACGGTTGATGGAAACCACTCTACATGTATGGACACAGTGAATGGATTCCCAGTCACGTGGTATTTGGATTTACAAGAGGTCAAAAGTATTGCCAAAATATGGATTTTCTACAAGACCTCTGGTGCGTTTGACAATTAATGTTGTAATTCTTGTATGTGTCGCTTATCTTACATTACCTTTGTATTTACATTTTATTGTAGTTACGTACATTTTGTTTGCATACTGCACCGACCTGTGCAACTGTTGTCGTATCTTGTTTGCTATATTACTCTCCATTTGCAATGTAGTTTTGTACAATTCCCTATATGGCCCAAGGAAAACCCTTGTTGATTTTGATGTCAAAAGGTCAATGTCAAACTAGTCAATTCAAAATTCTGCCTGGCTTTACACTTTCTTTCCCGTGCGATATCTCGAGAAGCCTATGAGCTTTTGCGACGATATTTTATACATGTACCAACTCCCCCCTGGCCTGAGGACGCCCCCTATTTATTTTGAGGTCAAAAGGTCGAAGATCAAGGACGTAAATTCATACATTCTGTGTGTGCGTGTAAAACTTTCATTCTCAGCATATATATATCAAGAAGCTTTTGAGTTTTTGCTATTACGTGGTAAATTTTATACAACTTCCCATGGCACTGCATGCACTCCCCCGATCCGCACATATTCTTAGCTTTTTCTTTAAGCGGGTGACACATTTTGTGAATTAGCTTGTTCCTTTTTATACCCCCCGCTTGAAAAGTGGGGGTATATAGTAATCGGTATTTCCGTCCGTCCGTCCGTCCGTCCGTCCGTCTGTACGTCCGTCCGTCCGTGTTTACGAGAGTGCATTTATTGGGTATTTTTCATGCCAAGATTGTACTTATTGGGTACTTTTTGCTTATTGGGTATACCCAATAAGAAGTGTCGCCGAATATGCTTAAAATACCCTAATTGGGTATTTGCAGGTTAGTACCCAACAAAACTTGGACACGACGATTTGTCCAAAAAAGTGTCCAAAAAAGTTGCTTTCACGGACGCACCGTGTTTTGTTGTTTCAGTTTTACATTCGGAACTCTAAATTCTCGAGAGTTCCGAAAATCAACTTCCGTTGATCCTGATCATAACAACGTTTGTTTTCATGGAAAAAAATATGGCGACTAAGAAACACTTAATGTCAACAAGATTTTCTGATTGACAAGAGAAAAGGTAAGTTTATTCGATTAAGATTTATCCATTGCTGGGTTCTTGTTTAAGGAAAATGAATTTTATTGTAATTTTGAAAACAATTGTGCACAAAATTAAAATAGATATATCGGAACAATTAATCCTAAGTTGCACTTGTTTGTATTTTGAATTTTCTCTGTCTTTTTAACTCTCTTGAGGGCGAGAAGTATTTAGTAAATGATCGTATATTGTTAGATAATCTTTAATAAATCGAAAGTGTTTATTATTTAATTTTATATCATAACCAACTAAGTATGTTTTGACAATGTATATTGGAAAGGGAAATGAAAATTTTAACAATCGTGTGTTAATAAATCAGCTGTAAATTATCGGTTCATGTAGACAGTATATACAATCGCAAAGTGAGCTGAGATGATGATAAATGGGATAATTGACAACAACTAAATAATTGTATGTAAGTTTATCTCATCTGATATGTAACTTAAGAGATTCATTGCATTACTGAAAAACTTTCAGTCAAAACAGTGCTTCTTTCTGTCTTTGATTTTGACTGTTAAATCTAAAGCATACTAGCATGGCGCGGCGCTATACCCTTTTTTCTCGGCGCCATGCCCTTTTTTCCAGCGCCATGCCCTTATTTCCTAACCCAAAATTAATAAATATGCCCAGTTTAGGCAATATTCCTTGGCTGTTCTGTTTATTCAGTGCATGCTGATAATCCCTTTGTTTAAACAACGACAGGAAATCACTTCACGCTTGAACGCACACACACAGCCACCTGGCTAATTAACATGCCTCAGGCTGTCAGGGTAGAGGATTTAACTTGAGAAACTGTCATTTGATTGCATTGATTATGCAAGAATTAGCCCAAGACCAAAGATGAAAATCAGAATCGTTTTTTTTATAAACCGAAAGTAGAATAAAACACATAGTTCAGCTTGAAGAAAAAAACGGATATTTTATCTGAATAAAATACTTACAGTGTACCAAAAAACTGATAAAAAGGCTTAAAAACAACAAACTAAGTTACTTTTTTTGATTGAACTGATAGATTTGACAAGCTGAGGGTCAAAGTTTCTAATTAAAGCCAGAGTTTTTTTTAAACAAATTATGCATGGCATTAAGACCAGTTTTCATACAGTGTATGATCCTGTTGGTAGAATATTTTCCAAGTGCGTTTTTCAAAATGCCCATACCCCCCTTCCCTGAAAAAAGTATTTTCCTTTAATGTTTAAATTGACTGTACTTGTAAACAAATATCAGTCCAAGCAGGTAAAAAAACAATCATACCTCCAAACCTTTATAATTTTTGCACCTGTTTCAGCTAGATTAATACCATTACTTTCTCAAGTGTAACCTTACTACTTTTTTTATTGAAGAAATTGGATGTAAATGCCTTTTTTATATTCTTTTTGTTTCTGAATCAATAATTAAAACATTGTTTAAAAAAAGAATGGAATACAGATATATGAATTTATCTTTAAATTACTTGTTTTAAATAAAGATTTCAATATGAAAGGATATTAAAAGTAATTAAACATGTTAAAGTATGTAAAAATTAAAAAATGTTAAATATAATTTCCATGACATTAACATTTGTTTTCAAAGTGCCCTCTTGAGATCCTGTTGCGGCACAAAGTGCCCTTTTGATTCCTTGATTACCATGCCCTTTTTAGGGTCTAGATGTAACACAAATAAATCACTCAATGAGTGCCTGCTTTATTTTGATTTTTTTAATTATTGTTTTTGTCATTTGTTTTAATTAATTTAAAACAATACTGAACAATACTGAAATTGATATAGGGCTACTATAACTATTTCACATGATGGGTGTGAAATTAGCCTCGCGCTACACCCGGGGCTTCCATTTTTGAGGATGGGGCTAGTGGTTTTCTGCACTGAGGAATCCCCTTGGGCTATTAGGAATTTTAAAATATACATGTAATACATGAAAAGCACCACCGGTATTTTCACTATTTTTTGCTATTAAATTCCTAATATGGAAATATTCCAGACAGCATGCTCATATTATCCATAAATCTCCACAACTGCATCCATTTTGCAGTACTACAAGACTGATTTACTTAAAAACGATCTTTTATTTCCTAATTTGAATTCCCCCCTTTCCTTTGTTTAATATAGCAATATTTGCTTGTACATATATGCCTCACAGATATCTCATTATTACATTATATACATTCACTCAATCAGCTCAATGATAAGTGTCATGCAATTATGTAGCGTTTTTTTTTTAAGCCATATATGGCGTAACTGATCAAAAAATATATTTTTGAAAAATACAAAATTAAGTAAAGAAATATAGTTAATACATTTAAATTAAAGCGTTTCATACAATTCGGAGCACGGAGAACACCTCGTTTTATCTAATAATACGATTTTATCTTCTCTGTAATGTGTTATTTAAATCTTTTGTATTTTCTTCCAAGTCGGAGAAAATTCCGAGAATCCAAATTAGATTTTGATATCTTTATAACGCAATTGACTTAGATTTTGTAATTTACGGAAAATTTCTATCTTTATCATGTTTATATAAAGTAATGATACAAATAATAAGTTCTTATAATTTTAGTCTAATAATTTTCATTGTACATATGCCATATATGGCTTTAAATGATTCAAGATGAAAACAATGTGATTTTTGCTTCGTTTTAATTAGACGAACTAGTGAATGACCAGAAAAGGATTATTTAAAATCTTTTTTTTTATTTTTTTAAATCATTAATTTTTATATGATTAAATTTTACTAGCGAAATTCAAATTAAACTTTAATTTTAAAAAGAATCATCTGTAGTTAATACCCGACTTTTTTCACGATGAACTTTTTTTCAATGTTACTTTTTAATTTTTGCCTCTATATTTGGGCTTGTCACTTTTTACTCGGGGATAGTAACTTTATTGCCACAAAGCTGTGGATTAGTACTTGATTTCCTTTATTGCACAGCGATGACTATGATTTAATAGCACAAAAAGCTAATGGGTTTATGTGAATTTATATGATTAATGCTTACTTGTGATTTTAGGATAACTGGAGATAATGATTTCTTTTTTCCATTGATATTACATAAATATTTTCCTAAGTATTATGTTACAATAAATTGGTTTAGATTTTTTTTTTTATAAAAGTAATCAATAATTACAATGGAAATTAAAACCATAATCATGTTCATTGAGGATTTTCAATATGTAACAGGTCAAACAGGAACTTCAATTGTGAACATTGCAGAGAACACACTCATCAGAAGATGACCCTCAGAAATAGGACAATTGTAAGTAATCAGTAAAATGAACAGGAATACTTCATGCCAACCATAAGATTTTTAGAGACATTTTCGCTTCTTAAATTAGAAGAGATAGAGGGAAAAACTTGTACATACTACATAACTACTAGGCAACCAAGCTTTAACTGCAGGAAAGCTTTTGGTATGTGCAATACAGCTACATAAAACCTCTTTAGTATTCATGTAAAGTTTGAGAAAGTACCTTAGTATTTATTTTTTAGTGTTTGCCAACATTTTCATGCACACTGTTTGCTTGTTTGTACTATCATTTTATTTTAAATTCTTCAGATGCCCTTTACCTTTGCCAGTTTAGAATCATTTGTTTTAAGGGCATCTGAGGGTTGATTCCAGAACTTAATTAATTGTAAAGTAAATACTGGGGTACTATACGGTCATAGGTTATGTTAATACATGTATAACATTTTGTTCTGATAGAGGTGGCATACAGGAAAAGAAACAATACTAGATATCACTTCAAAGGAATAAAACAGCTTCATCTTGTAGGTGTATTTTATTTAAGGATCACTACTTCATGTCTGATGTGCTGAAAGTTATTCATAATCTGTTTGACTGTAATTTTTCATATTTTCATCTTCTATCCAGCTTAGTCAATTTTAATTAAATTTTGTGCAAAGCATACCCTAGGAAGGGGGGATGGAGTGTCAAGTGTGTCTCTGTCCCTGTCAATATAATTTCAAAGCAGTTAGTAAGGTTTAGGTCAATTTTAAATCCTCTTTAGCAGAACCATTGGGCTAAAAACAATACTAATGTGAAAGCTTTATCATTAAGTGTAGAGATGTTTTTGAAGATTATGTACCCCTAATGTACTGATAGTGTTACATTAGAAGTCTAAAATTTGCAAGGAATAGGTGTAAAATCTTTTTAAAATCTCCTTCTTAACAATCAGAAACTAACATACTGTCTAATTAATATGCAACATCGTTTTGTGTGTTGAATGATGATTCCATTTTGATAAAATTATGGCGGATGGGGGGTAGGATGAAGATGCAGTTAGACATAGAAGAAAAAAAAAGAGTTGATAGAATTTAGTTTTTCTTCCATTTTATTTATCAATACATATTTCTGAATAAGAAATATACTTCTACTTCTTGGTTGGGTTTGATCAACATAAAGGGTGATCTTGCTGTAGTCAAGAAAAACATGTTTTATACAGCAAAGAAATGCCTTTATCTAATTGCAGAATGAATAAAATGGACAGAGGCAGAACTGAAGGAGATGCATGAAATGAGGAATATTTCAAAGATTGCCTGAGCATAACCACTGCTACTGGATAAACATATGGCAATATAAAAGAGCAGGGTCAATGGAGGTATCATACAGTATAGGCCATGAGAGACCCTGAAGAAGAAAGTATTGAACAGAAACAAAAATAAAACCATTTTGACATTTATTGAAATATAGGATCAAAGTCTTACATGTAAAATTTGGGCATGTAATGACTTTTCTCTAGCTCTAAGACTTATAACAGTGATGATTTGATTTAATATCTTTATCCCGATTTGTCGAAAAGATTTGGACATAGTGCATCAATTATTTTAAAGTTTTGATACAACGAATTCATTCATTGTACTTGTTACTGAGTTTTCTGGTGTGACACTGTTTTATCGGCTTCAAAACTTAGTTTGTGATTTCCAAACCAGATTAATGAGATCATGTAATATCTTTTAACATCGGTGACTATTTAATCCATTCTTTTACATCTCAGAAGTATTTTTATTATTACAGGGAAAATATGCATTGTACATGTATCTGTAATAAACAAGATTATAGAAATTTTCCATATAATACAACACAATCTTAGCAACTGAAGGCAAATATTTTATCAAGGGTGTGATCTATTTATCAATATGGTTTTCAGCATCTTGCTCTACCTGTAATGACTTGCTCCAAGTTCCAATATTTAAATTTAAATTTTGCAAACATGGTTATAAAATTCTTTAAAAGCCAAATAGTTTAGGCACAAAATGCTTATATATTTCCTATCATTTGTAAAGTGTACACTGAATGAGATGTGGAATGTTAGAATTAAAGTATTAAATATGTTTTGGACTTATGTATGCTTATGCAGATAAATTTGAATTCAACTAGGGAAGGTAAATGTCATACTTATTGGGTTTGCAATCTAATGCAAGAGTATAAATATCCAAGACAAATTTGACAATTTTAATGAAGGGTATAAGTAACCCAAGAAGAATTGGACAGGTAAACATCACCTGTTGGGTTTTATTCTAATGTTGGGATGTAATATCCAAGAAGAGTTGAACCAATGTCCAATACCTATTGGGTTTTCTTTCTTATGAAAAAAAATTGAGTAAACCAAGAAGAATGTCCAATACCTTTTAGTTTATATACTATTGAAGGGATGAAGATATCCAAGAGGAATTGGACAGGTGTCCATTACATGTTGGGTAGTATTCTGATGAGGGGATTCTCAAGAAACCCAAGAATTAGACAAGTGTCCATTGCCTGTTGGGTGGGATGTAGATATCCAAGAGGAGCTGAACGGATGTCCATTACCTGTTGGATGGTATTCTGATGAAACAGTTCAAGAAACCCAAGAAGAATTGGACAAGTGTCCATTACCTGTTGGGTGAGATGTAGATATCCAAGAGGAGTTGGACAGGTGTCCATTACCTGTTGGGTGGTATTCTGATGAAACAATTCAAGAAACCCAAGAAGAATTGGACAAGTGTCCATTACCTGTTGGGTGGGATGTAGATATCCAAGAGGAGTTGGACAGGTGTCCATTACCTGTTGGGTTGTATTTTGATGATGCAAGTCAAGAAACCCAAGAATTAGACAAGTGTCCATTGCCTGTTGGGTGGGATGTAGATATCCAAGAGGAGTTGGACAGATGTCCATTACCTGTTGGATGGTATTCTGATGAAACAATTCAAGAAACCCAAGAAGAATTGGACAAGTGTCCATTACCTGTTGGGTGGGATGTAGATATCCAAGAGGAGTTGGACAGGTGTCCATTACCTGTTGGGTTGTATTTTATGAGGGGTTCAAGAAACCCAAGAAGAATTGGACAAGTGTCCATTACCTGTTGGGTGGGATGTAGATATCCAAGAGGAGTTGGACGGATGTCCATTACCTGTTGGGTGGTATTCTGATGAAACAATTCATAAAACCCAAGAAGAATTGGACAAGTGTCCATTACCTGTTGGGTGGGATGTAGATATCCAAGAGGAGTTGGACAGGTGTCCATTACCTGTTGGGTTGTATTTTGATGATGCAATTCCATTACCTGTTGGGTGGTATTCTGATGAAACAATTCATGAAACCCAAGCTGAATTGGACAAGTGTCCATTACCTGTTGGGTGGGATGTAGATAACCAAGAGGAGTTGGACAGGTGTCCATTACCTGTTGGGTTGTATTTTGATGATGCAATTCAAGAAACCCAAGAATTAGACAAGTGTCCATTGCCTGTTGGGTGGGATGTAGATATCCAAGAGGAGTTGGACAGATGTCCATTACTTGTTGGGTGGTATTCTGATGAAACAATTCAAGAAACCCAAGAAGAATTGGACAAGTGTCCATTACCTGTTGGGTGGGATGTAGATATCCAAGAAGAGTTGGACAGGTGTCCATTACCTGTTGGGTTGTATTTTAATGATGCAATTCAAGAAATCCAGGAGTTGGACAGATGTCCATTGCCTGTTGGGTGGGATGTAGATATCCAAGAGGAGTTGGACAGATGTCCATTACCTGTTGGGTGGTATTCTGATGAAACAATTCAAGAAACCCAAGAAGAATTGGACAAGTGTCCATTACCTGTTGGGTGGGATGTAGATATCCAAGAGGATTTGGACAGGTGTCCATTACCTGTTGGGTTGTATTTTGATGAGGAGATTCAAGAAACCCAAATAGAATTGGACAATGTACACATGTTCAATTGTTCTTGGGTAGTTTAATCCCTTCGTCAAAATACAACCCAACAGGTATTGGACACCTGTCCAATGCCTGTTGGATGTTCATTCTGTCCAACATGTAATGGGCATTTGTTATTATTAATTGGTCATGACTCAAAAAGGTTTCTCCTTAAATATTTACTTTTGTTATTCAAGAAAGGTTGAACAGAGTCTGAGATGTGTTGAGTTGTGTTTTCACATTAGATATTTTGAAATATACAGGTGTATATCCTTATTGCTAAGAACAAATTAGTTAGGTGTTACAATAAAAGAGTTATACCACAGAAATTGACAAAAATATGGGTTCAAAACCAAAGGTTTTCAGTCTTGTCTGAATTTACCAGCAAATATTAAATATATAATAAATTTGAAATGAATAAAAAACAATAAGAAAAAACCCAATAAAATACGGATACGAGGATTAATATCCAATAAGATTTGAACAGTAACTACCCAAATAATGCTCTCTCGTGTGTACACTTTTTTTGTATCCAATAAGCAGTATCCAATAGGACTTGGACTATATAACCAAATGTGTGTCCGTCCGTCCGTCCGTCCGTCTGTCCGTCCGTCTGTTATGTACCCAATATATAACCAAATGTGTGTCCTATTTTACTTTTTGATCCGACAGATATTTTGGGTTTCCCGGCCACAGGAAAAGATGGACTATTTCACCAGTTATAACCATATGGGAGGCGGGGGGTATCATTTAGTGAGCTCATCGCTCACAGTACCTCTAGTTAATGTTGTTTTACGGGATGGATTCGTCCGTCTATTACTGATTCTGGGTCAACCGTGAGCTTTCCTCTTATTGTAGAACCCAGATTCTTTAAAACCTCAAGACACGAACACGAGTTACAAATTTTGTACTTTTATATAGAATCAGCATGGAATAAACTTTTACACGAGTTTGGGATGTATCAGCACCGAAGGTCTGATTCCAGCTGACTATAATTTTTAACAACAAATCATACATACTGAACAAAGACAGAGTAAAATAAAAGGATTATCAAAAGAATATAGAAATCAAGTATCAAACAATTATTGAGCGAATGGTGACATTTAGCACCATGTAGATAACATAATTAAAGATGAAAGATTAAGTGTCAATAAATATAAACAGATGTCAATTAAGGAATTAACTGTCCAATCTCTGACTATGCCTCAGGTGGGATTAAGGCAGTGCGGAATTTATATAATTTATCACATTTGCCGAAATATAAGGAAAGTTTTGACAACAATTTACACAAAGTCCGAAAAGTTAATTTACACGGTAATTTAAAATAAGTCCAAAAATGTTGTATTTTACATCGTAACAGTTGCAACATGGTGGGGATTGAATATTTTTGAATAGTTAAAATATTGCTGTTTTATAAACTTGAGTAATATATAGAAATAATGGACTCGAGATAACGGTTGCAACCATTTCTTTGCAATCCCACAAACGTTAATCCAAGAGTATTATTGTTAAAATTAATTGCATGTGTATTTTTTTAACACCCCCCCCCCCCCCCCCCCCCCCCCCCCCCAAAAGACAGTATTATTATATTGTTAACCTGTCAAGTCACTGAAAAATCATTTTTTTTTATTTCAAGTAAAGATTATTTATTAATTGCTATAATTATAAGTACTACATTCGTTTTCTAAATTTTAGCTGTAAACGGACGTTTTGTTTACAATTATAAGATGTATCTGTCAAACACCACTCGATGGATAGATGGTTTTCCCTGCATCAGTGACCCTGGACCAAGTGCTGCGCTACCAGGAACAGTAAAAGATTGCCCAACGATTGCCCGATACGTGATATTCCATAACACAAAAGAGTCTGATAGCAGTTTAAATTTTTCCAGCGTTTGCGATGTGAAAGTAGAAGGTAAATAAAATTTTGTGTGTCGCGATGCGTGTTTTAACAGCAGATGAAAAGGTATTGTATCTTAACATGTGGTACTACTGGAAATGAAATAAATAAAATACGAAGGCCAATATCAGAAACATTACGAGACAATTTTTAATGCTCTGAAAACGCTGATGATTAAAAGCACAGGCGTCGGAACCGGGGGGGGGGGGGGCTTAGCCCCATCCCACTTTTTTTTTTTCAAAGATAGACATTTTCTATGTATTGAAAATTGGGGTCAACCTTTTTTGTTGGTTTAGCACCCCCCTCCCCCTCTCAATTTGCTTCTGACGCCAATGTAAAAGTTGATGCATGGTACATGTATTTTTTTTATTTATTTAATAAAAGTACAGCCAAACTTTGGTATGCCGAACATGGGTATCTCAAATACCTTAGATTAATAAATCTCGAAGTTAATAAGGTTTATCTGTAAAAATACATACTAGTAATCAGTTACTTATTATGATTAAACTATTTTTATTCTTTGATTGTTACTTTTAATATGCCCAACTTTTGATAGGCTTTATTATAATGTGAGACGTTATGTCTGTTTTTTAGCTCTACTGATCAGAGACCAGAAGAGCTTATGCGATAGTAATGCGTCCGGCGTCCGTCCGTCTGTCCGTCTATCTGTCTGTCTGTCTGTCTGTCTGTAAACAATTTTTCAAAATGCTACTCCTCCTACAGTTTTGGTCTAATTTCAATATAACTTTGCACACAAGTAGACTACACTAAGATACATAATTTTGTGTATCGGTTTTTGATTTCGATAAACGGTGTTGCCGTGGTTGCTAAAAATAGAAATTTCTGTAAAATTGTTTCAAAATGCTACTCCTCCTACAGTTTTGGTCTAATTTCAATATAACTTAGCACACAAGTAGACTACACTAAGATACATAATTCTGTGTATCGGTTTTTGATATCGATAAACGGTGTTGCAGTGGTTACTAAAAATAGAAATATCTGTGAAATCGTTTCAAAATGCTACTCCTCCTACAGTTTTGGTCTGATTTCAATATAACTTGGCACACAAGTAGACTACACTAAGATACATAATTCTGTGTATCAGTTTTTGATTTCGATAAACGGTGTTGCCATGGTTACTAAAAATAGAAATTTCTGTGAAATTCTTTCAAAATGCTACTCCTCCTACAGTTTTGGTCTGATTTCAATATAACTTTGCACACAAGTAGACTACACTAAGATACATAATTCTGTATATCGGTTTTTGATTTCGATAAACGGTGTTGCCGTGGTTGCTAAAAATAGAAATTTCTGTGAAATTCTTTCAAAATGCTACTCCTCCTACAGTTTTGGTCTTATTTCAGTATAACTTGGCACACAAGTAGACTACACTAAGATACATAATTCTGTGTATCAGTTTTTGATTTCGATAAACGGTGTTGCCGTGGTTGCTAAAAATAGAAATTTCTGTGAAATTCTTTCAAAATGCTACTCCTCCTACAGTTTTGGTCTGATTTCAATATAACTTGGCACACAAGTAGACTACACTAAGATACATAATTCTGTGTATCGGTTTTTGATTTCGATAAACGGTGTTGCCGTGGTTGCTAAAAATAGAAATTTCTGTGAAATTCTTTCAAAATGCTACTCCTCCTACAGTTTTGGTCTGATTTCAATATAACTTGGCACACAAGTAGACTACACTAAGATACATAATTCTGTATATCGGTTTTTAATTTTGATAAACGGTGTTGCCGTGGTTACTAAAAATAGAAATTTCTGTGAAATTGTTTCAAAATGCTACTCCTCCTACAGTTTTGGTCTGATTTCAATATAACTTGGCGCACAAGTAGTAAACCCTTAAGAACATAAGAAGACCTTATCAATGATCATTATTCTACTTATTGCTGTTGTAAAGTTTCAATTCCCAACTGCTTAAGTACTTTTCTCTTCCTTTGCTACAAGTACGAACCAGTAGAGCTTCAGTCTCGACAGAGACTTCTGGTTTTTCTTTCAAATTCCGAAGTTGGTCTTTGTGACCTTATTTCGACAACTTATGGCTATACATAGCTTAGTCACAATGCGTTTAAATTAATGAGTATATTTTGCACAAGCATACATTCTTCAACCTTGCTAGTTGAAACAACCTTAGAGGAAAGTACAGGTTCGTGTATAGTATGACTGCAAAGTAGATTACCATGTCTCAAGCTTGCTCTGGGTGTTTGCTTCTCACTGATACGTTGTTATTAAAAGGAAACCCAACAACCTCGTTTAAAGTCGGCATTTCGTAAATTTAATTGTCGCTCTAATGACCTTGTCAGCAAAAATAAGTTACATAACCTATCATTGGGACGAATTTTGGTTCATTTGTTTTATAGCAATTCATATGCCTTTTTTGTTTTTAATTTGACTATGGAAAGTTCCTTCTACTTGATCCATACATACGGCTCACAGCGGGTGTCACTGGGATGCTTACTCCTACCAGACATTTGATCCCACATACGGAATAACCAAGGATCCGTGCTTTCTGCCCTCTTCACCTTTTTGTATATTTATAGATTTGTTTGATCAACCACTGTTTGTTATCTTTACCTTTTATGCCCCCGTAAATGAAGTTTCGGGGGGTAAATAGTTTTTTGTCCTGTCCGTAAGTCTGTCTGTTTGTCCGCAAAAACTTTAATCTTGCCCATAATTCCGGAATGGGTGGGACTATGGCTTTCATATTTCACAGTTGTATTCCTTGCGACAAGAACTTTCTTTGGGTACCACCAAATTTGACCTCTTGCCCTTGACCTTGGAGTTTGACACACTTTTACACCAAAAATTCCAAACTTTTAATTTGGTCATAACCTTTGAACAGTTAGTGCTAGGACTTTCATACATCACATATGTAACCCTAGTGACAAGACCTTTCCTTGGATACCAACAGCTTTGACCCTTTGACCTTGACCATGGAGTTTGACCTGCTATTTAAAAACTTAAACCTTGGCAATAACTTTTGAATGGTTAGGGCTTGGGATTTCATACTTCCCGAATGTAATATTTGTGTCAAGGCCTTTCTTTAAAAAACAACAACCTTGACTCTTTGACCTTGACCGCGGAGTTTGACCTACCATTATAAACGTTAACCTTGTTTACTAGTATGCATAAATATGCATCGTTTAATGCGTATCATTTACCCTAGTGATAATTCATTTGAAACAATGTTATACAGGATGCCAGAAGAATGGCGTGTTCGGTTCTTACTGTGACAAACCACCCCATCCGATACTTATTAGCTGATACTATAACAAACTTATTAGCATTATTTGCATGCATATAACACTCATAAAGACAGACTTTAGACCGCACAGTCCCTTACGGTACATTATTAGCTGTTGAAATAATACATTACACTACAAACATTATTAAAGCAGTAGCCCATGGTCTATTTATTATCAAAATTAATCAAATGGTTAATAATAACCAATCATAAATTAAAGGAAGCGGATGTTAGTTTTTTTAAAAGGAAATCAAAACCACGTACAGAATGGAGAAAAATCAGTGACCTCCAAATGTTCTTTACACCCTACAACTCTCCACAATTCTTTTCCAAATGAGGTAATGTTGTTTTAATCTGTCAAAACAGTTAAAAATTATCGGACACTTGACTTTAGGCCTAAATAACATAAATTTTAATACCAATGCCATTTAAAATAATTGTATTGACCCCTTATAAATCCTTTAAATTTCTCCTCAACATTTCCTAACTTGTTACAGTGATTGATCCATAAATTTTGGCAGGAGGTGGGGGGGGGGGGCACCCCTTTCTCGCCAGGGTAAAGACCCCCAGCCACACCAAAAAATTGATTCATTAATACAGTGTTTATTTTAAACACAAGGGTATAGGTGGCGGCCTAGCTGCAGATCTGTAGCGTTATGGTTTTATATATTTGTCTTTGACCATTATGGTCAAAGACAATTATATAAAACAATAACCCTACAGATCTGCAGCTAGTAGCTGCCCCTCTAAATCCCCCAATGGATTGTATTAAGTCAGGCAATACTTCAAAGGGGGGGGCTTGATCTTTTATATTTTTTTTATTATTCGCTTTA